GTGTACCTGGCCACAAAACGGACAACAGTACACCCGTTAGAAAAACAGCAGCAAATAAATAAAATAAAGACTAAAAAAATAATCTAAAGCTGGCGTTTTTCTGATGCAGGCCCAAGTAAAAATGCCATAGGGCCTTCAGGTTGCGGTGACGCGACCTGGGGGCCCTATTCCAACCTCGGGTCCAGTGAGGGGCCCGTGTGTAGGCTTTCAGCATGTAACACTCTCTCTCTCTCTCTCTCTCTGTATGTGTGTGTGTGTGTGTGTGTGTGTGTGTGTGTGTGTGTGTGTGTGTGTGCGTGTGTGTGTTGCACACATGCAAACACACACTTATGCACAAGCAGATGTTCACATCTGACGAAGCTCCTCCAGCATAGGCACAAGAAGTCTTGGTTGCTGCTAAACGCCACGTGGAGCCCATTACTGATTTTGGCGTTGCTGGCAATCAATGGTCTTCATTTGTTACCAGAGCTTCGCTGTCTTCTCTTCACGACAAACACTTTCAAGAGGCAAAAGACATTCTGAAGGTGAGAAGTTTTGAGAAAATCCTGCGCAGAGGAAGAACCATACCGCCTACCTTGACTATGCATGCCCTCGCAGCTTCGATTCCCAGGCCCTCGTAAACATCCATGACACTTCGCGGCTCGCTTTTCTCAATATCCACAAGCTTCTCCAAGGGGATGCAAATATCAGCCATCCCTGTCCAGACTTTTCCCTTCACCATTTCCACATTTACGACCAATTCCTCCCCTTCGGCGCCTTCAACCGTAAGGATGTCTGCCCGTCTGACATTCTTGTTTCCTAAACCGGACAGAGGATTACAACAACAACAACAATGAACAACAACGAATAAATCAATAAATCAATAAATATTAAATATTAAACAATGAAAATAAATATTAATTTATTAAATACATAAATAAATCAACTGTGTCAGCAGCTGGGCGGGGCAGGTTGCCTCAGATTGGCCCGGGTGGCCCACCCGGGCCACGTCCGGGCAAAGTCCTGGTGAAGGTCCCGGGCAGTCCCATAGCAAAAAAAAAAAAAAAACTAGGCTACCAGCCGGGGCGCCCAGGTCACCCTGTTTTCCTGAAGGCCCGGCTGGGCAAGGACCAGGGAATGTCCCAGCCAAAAAAAGATCCAAAAAATCCAAAAAACATTGACAAAAAATAAAAACGTTAAATAAACTGACCAACTTCCCCCCCCCCCCCCTGCAAAATGGAAGGCATCACCGGCCAAGCCCATATTGGGAGTCGCAGAACCTGAAAGTCCGCAAAACCAAACCATGGCTTCTCCTTCTAATACAGATTGCCCACAGAGTCTATGTATCCCTCATTTACAAGACAAAAAGCTGGCCAACTTCCATCCCATCGCATTTCCAAAAAACAAAAGCAAAAAAACTTAAAAAAAGAAGATCCCCGAAAAAAAATAAAAAGAACAAACAGAAGAGCTTTCAAACCAACACTAGGAAAAAAATAGCTAAGAAAAAAATCAAGGAGTACCAAAAGTCACAGCAGCTTGACTTTTCAAACTTTTCATGCGATGAAGAAGGCTGAGGGTTCCAGCTGCGGATTGGCACCCTAAGCTATCTGCACTTTGAGCAGATCAGGGTACCGTTCCCAGTGCAGGGTACCGGTCCCAGTGGGGAAGAAAAGTCTTCAGTGCCCTTGATGCATATCCATTGTATTGGACTTCAAGAGACCACTCTGTTGAGATGGTCTGTTTGATAACAAATTTCACCTCTGCTCTTATCATCGGCGGAGTCGAGCTTTCTTTCATCCAGAGAGTCCAAAGTATAGAACCCCCGGGGGGGTTCGTCCGGAAAGGCCAACGGGCCATTGTGTTGATGGCGTCGTGTAACCGCCCCCAGAACGGCTACCGGCCTCCACCATTCCCAAAAAAGTCGAGAGAGGTCGCAATGCAATAGCATGTGGTGAAGGTCCTCGATCCTCGTTCGAGCGCACAGGTGGCATAAAGGCGTGGCGTTGGCCGTGTGTCGGGCGCTGGCCAGACAAGTGGTGGTCCCGAGCCACTCTGGTCGCCTAAAAGAAAAACAGAGAAAAAGCCATGTCATGCAGAATTGCAAAGCAGCGAGTGGCGGATGGCCCAGTGGTTAGGGCACCAGTTGGAAATGCACATTGTGGTTTGAGGTTGTGGGCTGGAGACCCTGCAACCTCGTGCGTGAGCTGCCGGTAGGGCGTTAGGCTGACGCACTACCACTCACACACTGAGTGCGCATGCTCCCAGGGGTACGGATGTACGTGGGATGCTGTAACGGTCTGAATTGGGGATTCGGCCGTTAGGGTGCCCATCAGATGGTCACTCACCAACCATGCATCCTGGGCCGTTAGGGTGCCCGTCGACCGTTAGGGCGCCCATCAGATGCTGACGCACTACCACTCACACACTGAGTACGCATGCTCCCCAAGGTGTCCCTCCCTTGGGTTGCTGGAGGCCATGGGGGGAGAAGAAGACTCCCCACGGAGCAGGCTCAGTAGAGAGGCGTACGGGAGGAGCGAAGGGTTCGCCCCCTTCCTAGCGGAAGCGACTCTCATCCCCATAGCACCCGGCGACTGTGGTGCATCTTGCCTCCCGGCTGGGGGCTTCGCGTATGCAGGACCCCGAGTTCGCCCTGGTAGCTCCGATCCAGGGTGATACTCCCGGGTGTGTGTGAGGCGAGGTTATATTTCTGCATACGTGTGTCCTTCTTCTTTTTTGGTGTGTGTGACACGGACGTTCGCATTATGTTCTTCCTTCCCCTATGTCGTTCATGAAGTGAATACTGTTGGTCGGTCCAACTGTTAGTTGTGTCCTTTCTCAACTAGAGTACTCGTCCACCTGCATTTGCCTGTCATACATGTTTTTTGTATCTTTTTTTTTTTTTTTTGCATTTTCTTTTTCCTAGGCTACGTGGGCCACCTGCGCGGGGGAACCCGTGCAGGCAAAAATCAGCCCTTTCCTTTTTCTTTATTTTGGGCGGGGGGTGGAGGTGGAGGTTTTCTGAGCATGGCCAGAGGAGCCCAAGTCTGGGCTTCTTTCTTTTTTCGAGTGTTGGCTATCAAGGTGGGGGGGGAGGGAGGTATAAATTGGTTTTCAAGGGCTAAAGGGGTTTAAACTTTGAAGGGGGTTGCCTTCATCTGATTCTATTGTTTTGTTTTTTTATCTCCGATTCTGCAAGGAATTCCGATGTGAGCCTCCTTCATCACCAATTTGTACCCCCCTTACCCCCCCCCTTGACAGCCAACACTGGGAAGAGAAAGGAGCCGGATTTTAAGCTCCTCGACGCACGCACGGAAAACCCTCACCCAAAAACAAAAGATAAAGGGCTGATTTTTGCCTGCACAGGGTTGGCGGGGGTGCCCCGTGCAGGCAGGTGTCCCCTGGGCTATTTGCCCAGGCTGCATGGCTGGAAGAGCCAAGTAGCCTGGGTTTTCAGCAGATAAGGAGGGTCACTCAAATACGATACTAACTTTTCCAATTATCGTTCGTTTGTCTTATTAGGGCATCCTACTCCCACTAGGACTTTTTCAGCTGTGCTGTGGACGGGATTACAGTCAGGTGCATCAAGGTCAAGGTCAAGGCGCAATTGCAGTCAAAATACATTTAGAAAAGAAGTGCTAGTGTGAGTATGGCCTCGCATGTTTGTGTTTTTTTTTTGTTTTTTTTTTTTGCATTTGCTTTCCCCTTTCCTTTGAAGTGTTCCGGAACAATACAGAGAAGGTAAACATGGGGATCTTATTTATTTTATCTAAATTTTAAAAAGAAAAAGTTTTTCAGCCCTTAAGGAAGGAACAAACAGACAATTCTCCCCGCCTCCCCACCCCCACCCCCACACCCCCGGGAAAAAGAAAAAGCCACCTTTGATGGTTGATGACTGCAGAGACATGAGAAGGTTGTCCTTCACGAAGCGCAATAAAGCGTCGTTGTCGTTCCCTCCACAGTTTGGACCGAAGTGGACCTCAATGCACGGACCTTCGGCGCCACCCTCGTCACAATGTGCACTGTAAAAAAAAAATATAGCAAACACAGTTTGACACACACACAAAAAAAAAAAGGCACAGCAAGATGATTGCGTAAGTGACAGAAGAGGACATTTCGGCAAGCACCTTCTTTTTATTTTTTCCGCTTGCCGGCAGCTTCCTTCAGCTAACCCACCAGCAAAAGCCACAGGACGGCAGTTCCAAAAAAAAAAAGAAAAAAAGAAAGGAAAAATTGGATTCTATAATCTATTCGTATATGGCCATATGCTATATACAAGATAAGAGAGCATGCAAAAGTATTAGCAGCGGGGGGGAGAGGAAGAACGGGCTAGAGCGGTTTCCTTCTTGCCCACATGAGAGGGGGAGTATCTGCAGCTGCAGCTGGAAATAGTCCCAATACATTCCAAATGTTCGATCAGTTGGATTGTTTGTAGTCCATAAACAGTCCAGATGTGTGTCGAATGTTGATAAGTGGACCACCCCCCCCCCCCCACACACACACTGACTGTAAAACTGCAAAAGCACATCTTGCTGAGAATTCGGATGAAACTTCACGAAAGAAACCTGTCACCTGTATTGGAAATCGAAGTAGAGCTTGCTCGTAGTTCTGTGCTTCCACACAATGCCCGCCGAATTCGCGACTCGTAGCCGTTTCCTAACTTCTGGCCCATCCAGACGGTGCTTTGATAAGGCGTCCTGCCAGTGAAGAGCAAAAGCAATGGCGATGCGAAGAGGAGAGAATGAAAATCACGAAGGAAAAAAAAAAAAAAAAAAAAAAAAAAAAAAAAAAAAAAAAAAAAAAAAAAAAAAAGACGCCAAGTCCAGGGTACGGAACTGACAGGGCCACAGACAGCCCAGACAAAGGGCCTCGGTCGACTACTCACCACACGCACAATAAAAAAAATAAAAAAATGCTGGTGTATCTTCTTATGTTCTAGGGAGAGATTCATCATCATTTTGCGCATTGGGTGAGTAGTGGAGTTGAGGCGCAAACACTGTACTCGTGAGATGATATATCCAAGGGACGCTGGACCCGGATTTCAGCAGGTGTTGCTCCCCACCAGTGGATGGAGCGACCCGACAGGCAAAGCGTCACTTCCCGAGGTTCTCTTACCACCACTGGAATAAAGGGCTTGCTTGCATCACGGTTTTTATTTATTTATTTAAAAAATAAAAAAATCACAAACCCAGGCATCTTCCCTCTGTAAAGAAAAACTCGCACCCCAGACCTCGACAATGCAAGATAGTAGTAGGAGAGGGGGAATTGAACGAGGAGGAGAAAGTGACCGAGGAGAGGAGAATGAACCCTCAGGTAACGCAGAATACTGCTTCAAAATAAAAATACCGTAAGCACAGAAGCGGAAAGGTGAACGCTCCCTACATGTGTTCGGCTGTGTCGCCAGCACAGCCTTGAACATACAAGAGAGCCAGGAACGAACAACACCGCAAGCTGAGGTCCGGAGGGGGCGGGGGGGTGTGAGGAAATACTCACAAACCCAAACATACCTTGCTCCGAGCGTCCTGAAAACCAACAAGAAAACAAGAAGGGAAAACTAGGGCGCTTCTGTCACGGTTTCAGTTTGTAAATGCGCTTCTGTCACGATTTCCCAAATCTTGACCCAAAGCGAGGAAAGTCGTGAATACGTATACAACCTAGCTTTAGGGTCGGGTGGGGATGTGTTGTATTCGAGGGATGCCTGAAGTGGATTTCAAACTGAAATCCTGACTGAGCCTAGGCTACCAGCCGGGCTGCCCGGGTCACTTCACTTTGTTTGCCCGGAACCAAAGAATGTCCCAGCAAAAAAAAAAAAAAAAAAAAAGTTACGAGTCTTATGACAGTTATGCAGAAAAATAAACTGAACGGCATTTGGGCCAGGGTCACATTGAAATTCTTTACCAAATTTGAAATAGAAATTAAAAAAAAAATACAATTAAAATTTAAAAGTTAAAACTTTTTTTTTTTTTTTGGGCCCGGCCGTTGTCCCAGGCCACTCTGGTAGCCTAGGACTGCACCCTAGTTACCCCAAACAAGAATGGATTAAACAAGAATGGATTCTTGGGACTCTCTAGAAAGGGGGCGTTGATATAGTGCCTTTGTTGCAGATTTCTTCTTGGGTAGCGGGGTGTCGGGGATATGACCCAGGGAGGAGGTTCGCGAGGGAGCAACAACCAGTTAGTCAATTCAATCAACGAACAACATAACATATCAGTGAACTTTCACGGAGTTGACTTCACTGATATCAAGCACTCTCGGATCGTTGCCGATCTTGCCTTTTCCAAACTCTAGCATTGATAAGTTGCAAAAGTGGTTCCGCGCTCCGATACTGAAAATGGACCCGGCGCACCAGTCCCACCCTTCAACAGGGCCTCTAGAGCCGCGAGGGACATGCCCATTCTTGGCCTCTCTTTTTTCTCTCCCTACTCATGTACTCATGCTTGCCGGTAGGTAATAAGCAACCGGACTGCTGCCCCCCACAATAAGATGGACCTGGCCTACCAGGGTAAGTAAAGCACACAACACAGAGACAAAGTCCGTGAAAGTGACAAGAACTCTAGAGGCAAGAAGCAAAATCCAAGAGGCCGCAGGAACGACAACTCCAGAACCCCTTCTCCGCCCGCCACTCTTCTCCCTCGTCTTAATAAACCGCGTCTTCTCCACTTGCCCGAACCTGGGAAAACCCAGGAGTCATGTCAACAACAAAGAGGACCAGGCACTGGTCTAAGACTCCTATATATATGCCTACGGTTTACCGGGCAGTTCTATTTGACGATATATATATATTATCAGATGTGCGTTTTTTGAATCGTAACTTTTTTTTTTTTTTTTTTTTTTTTTTGGGGAGCATCAGTCCGGTTCCTATTCCACCGGCAAGTCAATGTACAATACAACCATTCACTCACGCTTCCTTCCGTTCGGCCAAAGGAACCCTGGACAGCATTGATTGCTCCACCTTCAATCGTAACTTTTCTAATCTTAATGGATTATAAATGCATCTTGATAGGAGCCCCATGTGAATCTAGAGAGACTAAGAAAAATTAGACTCCATACAAAATTGATAAAAACATTATTTAAAGAAGGGACTATAAATCATGGTAACCGCCCGGACGTCCGGACCGGGTTCCAGACAGTCCGGTGTCCGGTGTCCGGTGTCTGGTCCCCATGTCCGGATGGAGGCCCCTGGGGCAAAAATCAAAAAAAAAAATGGGGCGGCCCAGGACGTTTGTCGGGTCCTGGCCGCCTCTAGAAAAATAACGAGGTGATTTTTAAGTGTCCTTTCACCCCACCGGGCATGGCCTAGAGGTCCAGACACAAGACACTGCAGGTGTTTGAGGTGGCGGGTTTCGCACAGGCCCGAGCAATTTCAAAGCGGCCGTTTCGACGTGGGGCCTGGCGCTGCTGCCCGTTGGGGAGAGAGAGAGAGAGAGAGAGAGAGAGAGAGAGAGAGAGAGAGAGAGAGAGAGAGAGAGAGAGAG